AGATTGTGGTAACAATATCTTAGCAATCGGAAACTGCACCGCTACTCTCACCTCTACATTCTGCAAGCAGCTGAAGTCAGCAACTTGTGCGCAACAACTACATTCTGGAGGTATAGCACACTGTAAGACTCGTCCCAGCCATCTGCAGCCGCTGATGGTAATTGACGATGGTATCATCGTTATCAACGAAGCTACAGCTACAATACAGATGAATAGCAACACTGATAGAGTCATTCACGGCACACACCTGCTGACGTTTGATGAGGAAATCCACGTGAATGGGTCTCTCTTTGAAAATACCAAAAACATACTCAGGCGTCATCCAGGCCCAGCAATATCGACAACCCTAAACATAACTGGCCACCGAGAGATTTTAAGCATGCCCTATCTTCAGAGGCTGAACTTTGAGAATCTTCAATATATTGGAAACATCGAAAAAAACTAGCAATATGGCCTATGATGTTTACAGCATCCCTCGTCACTCTGATCATCGGTCTCGTCGTCTTCAAGGTTCATCAAAAATACAAAGAGAATAAACAACAAATCTCGATACGAGCTGTCATCGACACTTTGAGGAAAACCGAGGACGGCCTTCAAACTAGTGAGGGAGGAGTTAACACATCCGGTCAGACAAAGTCAACGACTGCAGTTCTGCACGATCAGCAAAGCTGCAACAATGCTTAATGCCAATTATGCCAAACTCCACAATACGTTGCCGTCAACATTCCATGTGCTGTCGCAACGTTGAAACATAATCCATTCAGCATAATCGCTGACACAGCGATTATAGGTCAGGGCTAGCTTATGTTAAGAATATTTTGTCATTTATATTTCAGTACGGATTTGACCAATAAACGAACAAGTATAATTCTATCTCACTGACTTAACTTCGTGCAGAGATCACAAGTAAACAGTTCGAGTATATTAATTATTAACTTATATATAAAATCTACCGATTATCGCCATATCTTAAATTCATATGTTGACCAAACACTTCACTTGAATATTGTAAAAATATTTGTTTTTGACTTGTTTTTAGTGCACTCACTGGCTGCCTGGGTCCATGGTTGCTGGCCGCTCTCCAGGTATTGCTTGAATAACTGTTGCGCAGTGCCTTGCAGCTATTACGCAGCATGTTGTCAAAATATATATTATATATATATATGTATTATTAAAGATAATTAATCAGGTTATAGATACACTCAATATAGATTTATTTGTGATCCTGCACAGGATCAAAATATCACAGAACTTAAAGAACAGAAGAGAAGGAAGAACGCGCTGCTAATGTGGAGCTAGCGGAGCCAACCGTACCGCAAAACCCAACGAGTTCTACTGAATTTCAATTGTTTTGGAACCGTGCACGCCTCGGCCAAGTGACAGGCTGCTCCGGCTCTGACGGCTTTGCTGATAATGAAGCGCAAACATATGTAATTGTAAGTGTTCATTGCGATTGCGATTAAAATTGGTTGGGGCCCGCCTCTGGCCCCATTGTCCAGCTCGCCCTCCATCACTCTCTTGCTCTCGCTCTCTCTGGGGCTCTCTGTGTGTTAAGCCTCTTGTAGCTCTTGTTGTGATTCAATTAGAAATGTTATCAATCACAGGCACAGCAACACATCAATACACACACACACGCACACACACAAATCAGCTCCGTTTTAGATTATGGCAAACATTTACACTTTGAACACGGAGCAGCTCGTCGTCAGCTTATCATATGGTACATGGCAGAACTGGCCACTTATCAGAGCATTCAGTGTTTGCCTGGAGCAGTTGCTGCCATCGTTGCTGTTGCTGTTGCTGCTGCTGCATCGTGTGTGTGTGTGCCCCCAAATATTGAATAATTGAAGCCCACAAATTATGCGAGCAGACGGCCCACTGACAAATAGCCGATTACGTGTCTTGTTTTCTGGATAAACACATAAAGCACTACAAATTGATTTAAATATGCAAATATGCTTAAAGCGACAGGCTTAAATATAGTTAATATATAGAACTAGCCAAAGTAAATTATTGTATTAGAGCCTTAAGGTGGCTCTCAACTAAATTGTTTATAAACAAATTGTAGCTTGTTTATCTCAAAAATCAATATTTATTATTAAAGCTCTTCATGAATTTCGACTAAGTGTATATTAACTAATTAATATGCGCACTCAACTTAATGTGACCTTATTATCTGACTGCATCTCATTGGAATTTGAATAACTCTGCACTTCCTAAAAACATATTACATCTTTGATGTTTCAATCTTTAAAGAAGTTTTTTTATTAAAAATATTTACACTATTAGAGAAAAATATGAAGACTCTAGCTGTAAGAGTACAGATATGCAGACAGTTTGTTTATCTTGTATTATCAGCCAGATATACTCTTTTGACTACATGAACAAGTATAAGAGCCACTCATAGAAAAAGTTAAGAGTGCTATTCGAGTGAGCAACTGATAAATGAAACACTTTAGACGCTGCTCATATAAACAAAAATTGATACACAAATATTGTCAGACACAAATACAAAAAAGTCTGGAAAAACTTTAATTAAAAAATGAAATATAAAATTTGACTATAATATAAATAATAAATGCTGACATTTAAGCGGCGCCAACAAGACAATCAACATTTTTTGCCATCGAAAAAAAGCTTAATTAAGTCACAAAAAATGCGAGAGTTGTTTATGCACAGTGAACAGTGAAGGGAGACGAGTGAGCAGTTAGGCAATGCAGCAGAACAGGACAGCAGCAACAGCAACAGGACACCGTACGTAATCAGGGCACATTGTGAGCAAACGTCCTGCAGCTTTCATTTAATTATAATCCCAAACAACAAAAGCAAGCACAAAAGTTAAAGCAGAAGCTGTTCGCCAGCAACAAATGCCAACTCACAATTATTTTTATAATTAAATGACATTTAAAATATATATAATATATATAAAAAGATAGTTTTGTTCTTGCTGTCGTTGTCGTTGTCGTTGTCGCTGTCGTTTCCTTGTTGGCAATTGCAAATGCATAGGAAACCCATAAAATACAATAACAAAAGCAAAAACTCAGCCAGTGCCTGAGGTCAGATAAGTGCAAAATTATGTAGCCGCCTGCCGGTTGCATAGTTGTTAGCTCTACTGTAGCAACAACAACAACAAATGCCAGCAAAACGAAAGTAAAAATAAAGCACAAAGCAAAGTTTTTTGTATCGAATTTTATATTTTACGGCCCGATGCCATTTCCGTGCTACTTTGTTTTATGTTGCCAAAGAGGGGACTTTGTTTTGTTTCGTTCCTTTTATAGTTTCGCTGCACCAGAAAGCGGGCTACATAAATTTGAAAAACATGAATTTATATGCCTGTGGCTATAGAAAACAATATTAAGCATACGCCGTGTTGTCCAAGCCACAGTCAAAGCCCACTCTTTACGTTTTCTTGCCAATAAACAATGGCCCAAAGTCGCAAGTAAAATATAAAGAAAACCTTTTTTTGGCCACTAGCCAAAAATTCATGTTTGACGATTCTTTACAACATTTGCGCTCATTTCGTGTGCTCGACAAAGGGGCAAAAACTCATTGAAGTTTTAAATTGTTTGCATTTTATGAATGCGAATGCGATTCCGAAATGCAATGCTAACTGCTATGGACTGGACTTTGAGAGTGCAGTCGAGGTAATTGGTTCAGCCAAAGGCTAATCAATATTCCGTGTTTTCTGCATTTATGCATAAATTGCCAGATTTGCAGCTCTACGATTCGATTCGATAAAACTTTAGTTAAGCTTCAAATTAATTTCTTCATTTAGTTTATTGCACTAATTTATGCTGTTGAAGATTGTTTTTAATTGGATTCGAAGCTCTTTTGTTACTGTTTCTTACTCTGTGTTTTAATTACTTGAGCAAGAAGCGCTTAAGACTTGCTTGGGGAGCATTGAAAATGTCACAGAAAAGTTTCGAATATGCACTTTAGAGGCTTTAGCTTATTGCTGAGCTTTTGGGGATCTAGGTAATATATATGTATATAAATTATAATATGCTCACATGCTTCTAACATACAAGTTTTATTATTAATTCAGTTAACATTTAAAAATGTAAGCTAGATCAATAGATATATTTAAAAATTTCTTGTTTTTAGTAAAGTATAAATGCTTGTCTAACCTTTAAGTTCTTTGGTATTAATTTACTATATTTTTTATATATTTTTTATATTTTTTATTTTTATTTTATTTATTATTTTAAAGTATATTTTTTATCTATCTGTTTAAAAATCGACACTTAAATTCTGTCTGTCAGAGCATCTCAGCTTCGATCAGTTCACTTCCCATTTGGCTTTCACTTTGTTCTCTTACACTCCTTGATGCGGTCAAGTTGTGCAATTTTTCCTTTTCATCTCCTTTTCTCTCATTGACTTTTAAGTAACCTGCACACTTCTGCCTCCAAGCGCCTCTTTTGTAAGGCAGAACCTGAGTTTCTTTTCCTTTTGTTAGCACAGAAAAGGAAGAATATTCACTTATAAAACACTTAGGCCAACACCTAAGTGCAACACCCACGCCCACACACGCCCACGCACAACCACACACACTCGCATATGCAGTAGGTAGTAAAAAGTTGCGCATTGCAGCAGAAACTTCATCAAATCCAAGCTAATCACACTTTGATTTGCATTTTACAGCCAGAGGGGCGAACTGAACAAAAAGCGCAGCCAAGGAGCACTTAACTCTAAGCGTCGCCGCGACATTGATGAATGACGCCACCCGCCAACACAGCCCTAGCCACCCAACTACCCTCCGCCCCACATAGTCTTGTAATTATGCTAATGAGTCGCAAGACGTTGTGCTACTTGCAGCATGGAAGTAAGCTTCGCTGACTGTCACTTGGATTAAATGCAATTAATTATATTTTTTTGCCGCAGGGCTTTTAGTTTTACACTCAAATAGTTTAGGCTACACATAGATATATAGATAGATATATAGTTTATATAGTTTATATAGTCTATATAGTTTACAGATTCAGTTTCCATATCACTGGGCTATTCAGTATTCAGAATTCTGTGTGCTCGAGAGCTCCGTTGTCATAGACTTGCATGTTGGCATTGCTGAAGCTCACTTTTTTCGCATTTACCACCAGTGGAGGTCGCTTGCCGGCTTTCGGCGTGGGCGTGCCCCCGGGCGTAGCAGCTGCATTCACTTTGGCCACGGAGCGGCGTTCCTGGAAGAGTTTAATGGACTTGCGACTCAATGGCAGATTCTTCATATTCAGCTCATCTTCGCTGAAGAAGCGCTTCTCAAAGTTTTTAACCAGGTCGCTGTAGTCGCTGTGCTGCTTGTTACGTGTCTCGTGTAGCCGGCAGATGGTTTGGCGACGTGCAAGGCTCTCGCGGTGGCCGTCGTCCTGGCCCAGCAGCTCATCATAGTGATGAGCGTCCACGTCGTCGTCATCATCGAAGAGCCGCTTGGGGCGCTGCAGCCTGCGAGCTATGTGCACTGCGCTGCCATTCAGCTCGAGGGCGGCATCCTCGTCGCTCAGCTGTCCATTGGAGCGAAACCAGTCCAGCTGCGTCGTAGCCAGCAGCTGAGACATGGTGGCAAAGCGATGGAAGAACATGGCTATGAACTGTATGACCAATATGAAGCCAAAGAATATGACGAAGCAGAGGCCAATGGGATCCAGTTCCTTGTACTGTCGATAGATGCTCACTTGGTGGTTGTCGCGGTCAAAGGACACAAAGTCTGTAGGATCTATGGGCCACTTCAAGTGCAAATAGTCCTTCTTAAGCTGCAGCAGAAACACGATCAGAACGAAAATCGCATTGACCATGACAAATGCAAAGGCAATCATGTTACGCAGTTCCTTCAGATCGTCGGCCATGCTCTGCTTCTGCTCCTTGCTCAGCTCCAGCGGCTTCAGGTACTGTTTGATAACATCCTTCCAGAAGCGCTGCTCCAGCAACGTTATCTCACCCAGCTCCGAGTCAATGAGCAGCGGATCATTCAGCCAGCCGGGCAAATAGTTGTCTGGATCCTCGGGCGAATTCTCGCCATCATCGCGGAGCACAGGCGCCTCTCGAGTGCCCCAGCTAACGTCGTTCATGTTGAACACCGAGTAGATCATGAGCAGCATGTACATCGAGGGTATTGTGATGTAGTAGATGACGCCACACAGCAAAGCCCAAAACTCCTGAGGATGCATGAGGCCTGCAGAGAGAAGAGCAGAAGTAAAAGAACGGAAGAGGAGGAGAAGGGAAGAAGAGGTTAGTCTACCTGCAATTGTAATTTGTACAGCGACTAGGAGAAAGAAGAGCGAAGCTGGTGCCAAAGGGCCATCCTCCAGCATTTGAACGATGATTCCAATGAGCACAGCCATCATTACCAGACAATAGATGGCGCTAATCACGAAAGCAATGAGAAGCTGGAACTTTTGCTTCAAGTACACGCAGCTCAGCACAAAGATGAGTATGGGAAAGAAGTTCCACAGAAAGGCCGTCCAAATGTTGATGGTGAATACAGCTACCAAGGCGCCAACCATCATCAGGAATATGGTGCCCGGGCCGAGCACGGTGCCAATCATGAGCATGGCCTGGTACATGATGTACAGAGTCGATATGGAGTTATTCTTCTTGACCACGGTGCTGGCATCGGCGAGTATGTCGAAGATATTGGCAATAGTCGAGGGTACCCAGCGTCGGCGCTGATTGTAGAACTCGTTGAAGTACTCCGGCGAATGGGTGAAGGCATCGGAGGCGGCGCAGTACTCCACGCGTGAGCCCTGCTTTAGCAGCAGAGTGCATAGCCAGCGGTCCTCGCCCTGATCGTATTGCACCATCTTCATGGGCTCCGAGCTGACGAGCGTATAGCGCTTCATGACGCTGTTCTCCATCAGGGCACTGGCCCGAAACAGACTAAAGCAGCCCGGACTGCACAGCACACAGCCAATTACGTGCTCTGTGGCCTTCTGCAGCCAATGTCCGATTGCGTACTCGAATTTTTGATACCAAACCATCGGGCCACGGCCCACAGGATGTATGCGGCCGCAGGCGGCGCCCAGCTCATCGATTGCTTTCATTCGGTCAATGAGCAGCTGCACGGCACGCGGCTGAAAATCGATATCCCCATCGAGGGCTAGCAGAAAAGTGTTCTCCGCAATGACAGCCTTGCGGCGCGCCGATAGCTTCTCCAATTCCATGATGCGAAAGCCCAGCAGGTAGTACATATACATGACCTGCGACCAGCGCTTCTTGTGCCTAATCTTATCCTTGTTCTTCAGATGTGCCACCATCTTGGTGCGTCCGGGCAGAGTCCACACCAGCCGACCTCCGTACGGCGTCTCAATCTTCAGTGGCGGCTTAATTCTGATATTGACGCCATAGATCTCAAAGGCTGCCTTGTCTATGGTGCGTGTGAGAGTCTTTACATACTCATTGAGCGGCGGATTTCTCTTATTCTGGCATTGCTTATCGTCCAGCACGAAGGCGTCGTCGAAGAAAATGTTGGCTACAGGCGAGAGAGACTGTTAATAGTCGCAAGTCAACTAAACTTATATTCTGGCATGTTCCCTTGGCTAGACGCCAGCTTGGCTGGCGAAGCCTGCCGGCAAATGCTATAAATATTAACAAAATACACAGCTGCCGCTGCAGCTGCACTTGACTTGCACAAACTTCTAATTTCGCTGGCCGGAGCCAATGCAAATGCATTTGCCACATGCATATCAATGCCTGGCAGGACAGTCGCCTGCCAGCGCCAGTCGAGCACTCAGGTCGCTGATTCGTTTTGCTTATGCAAAACTCAATTTATAAATATATATAACGAGTTTCTGCTCTTCTTTTTTTTTTTTTTTTTCTTTTTTGGCTGCACTTGACACATTTACATACTTTCCAATTCATAGTATTCGTCATCCGCTTTGCCGCCGTTTAGATGCGTTTTTGCCATTCGTCGTGCGCATTGATCCTCATCCAAGCGTACAATTGATTTCAGAAATTCCATCATCTCATCCTCGGTCTCGTGCCACATTGTTGCGCAGACAATCAGTTGCGGTATTTTGTCCTGCTCCTGTATATCCCGGCTGGCATTGATGTCAGCAGCCAATGCCACAACCGGATCCCTGGGCGTTGTCAAATCGCTCTGCAATGCAAATACATATATAAATAAATATCTTTGAGTTGCCTTGCTTATATCAGAGTTGAGTCCAATTCCCTAGCAGTCGAAATTGTAATCTTGAAAATCAACAGCTACGTTTTGGCTTTTAATTAGTTTTGCGTATTTCTGTTATGCTTTTTAGGCCACACTCAACGGGCGCCGCACGCCAGACCAAAATTTGTAGCACATTTAATTAAGTTTACAACTACGAAAATTTTTACTACAAATGCATATGTTTACATATGTGTGCATGTGTGGCGCAAAGGGTTACACACACACACACACATAGACAGTCCCAGAACTTTACAGTTTCCCCGTCATTTAACTTAATTACATTGCCTAACAGTTGAAGCGAAGGCACGACACAGTCAAAAGTCCTGCGTCATATACATAATATATAAATATACACATATATATATATATATATATATATAAAGTTAAATATATATGGAAGATTGAAACGCCTGAGGTAAAAGCCAAGCCAAGCCAAGCCAGCCTGTTGACGCCTACGACTTGGCTAAGTGATTGATGTTCGCGTCTGATTAAAATAATTCATTAACACAAAAATGCAAATCACATTTGGATTCGTTAAGCTCAATTAATTCAAATATTATTATTATATTTACAGGAGGCAAATGAGCTGCCTACGCGCTGGGCCAAATGCTCATCAATTATTCAGAATATTATTATATATTAAAAGGGTAAATATAACTACCTACCCGCATACACACAGTTAAGTATGGCAATTGAGCCACCTACCCGTATGGTCAAATACTCATCGCTCCAGTCGAGTATGCGGCGATTCATCATCGAGCACTGGTCCACCAGCAGGCCGCAATACCAGGGGCACACGTACAGCTTCTCGGTGGGCGCGTTCTTGTCATTTCTGGGCTGCCAGATGTGCAGGCAGGTCCAGATTTGCGCCAGCCACCAGAGAGGCCATAGCCAAAGGGCATACTCCAGGCTCAATGCGCCCAGTTGGCGTAGATCCTGGCCCAATGCCTGCAGCGTCAGGTAATCCGGCATCAGGCTGTGCAGCGAACACAAATCGTCGGCTCGCATCTGGGCCAGCACGGTGGCCACACAAACGGTCGCCGGTGCTGCCAGGTTAAGCGGCAGCGCATAGCTGAAGTGCTGAATCTTAATCTTGCAGGCGAACTTCCCAAAAATGTGACACAAATAGGCGGCGGCCACCTGCAGCAGCAGGGCGTAGACCACAGCTCTGCTATTCGACTGCAGCGAGTACTGAGCGAGTCGCGTGGGCGTGATAGATGAGCTGCCATTGGCCCAATGTACCGTATCCAGCAAGCCATCCGTATACTGGAATGGCAACAATTGGACAGAGTCACAGACAAACTTAACGCCAGCGTAGCTGCTGCCTAATGAGCTGCACCTACCGTTACGGTTATGGAATGCGACTGCCACGCCTTGAGAAACTGCGTAAAATAGTCCAAGAAGTTCTCGCCGTGCAGTAGAAAACCCATCAAAGCGAACACCAGAATCTTCAGCGGTGCCAAGTAGAGGTAGGTGTGATAACGCGATCGAGTACAGCGTATATTACGAATGATGTAGGCTACAAAATATTGAAATTGGAGTTGACCATAAATTAAATATTCAGGAAAATTATATTATAAGTTGAATATCAATCATGGCTATATCATATGAGAATATAAGCTGAAAATGTTGAAATAAACATCATTTTGAATTGTGTTAAGAATAAATAAAAAATGTTTATATACATAAATATATAAAAAATAAAATAAATAATAAAAAAAATTAATAAAAATGATTTAATATATCATGCAATGATTCTATAACTTTTTTATTTTACAATAAATTAGCCACCTTATATATATAAAATAATAAACAAATAAATCTACATAAATATGCACAAATTTTAAGTATACACCCCTCAAACCTACGACAATTTCTAATTTCTAATAGAAATTTGGCTTTAAATATATAAAAATTTAAATAAAAAAAATTATTTCAAATTAAATTATTATTAAATAAATTTAAAATACAATAAAAATAAATATTAAATAAATATCAAGGAGTAAGTATAAAGAAATATTTTATATTAAAATTTAAATATAAAAAATTATATTAAAATACATAAGCACTTTTTGCATATTTAAAAAATAATAAAGAAATAAATGTATATAAATGTAAAGTATACGCTCCTCAAAAGCTATTGCAAATTCTAAATGAAAATATAAATAAATTTTAAAATGTTTAAATAATATATTTAATTAAAGTATTTAAAATTAAATTGGTCGATAGTTAATATAAAATATTAAATTAAATAAATATAACAAATTATTCTCAAAACTGTAAAAAAAATAAATCATTCACAAACACTTTTCTCACAACCTGCACCACTGTGCGCTGAGTCAGTCCGCAGGTTCACTCACCTATCGCTTCGTGCGTATTAGCAAAGTTCTCCCACCAGCGGAACGATACTAATAGCAATGGAATGGCCAGCAACTGGACCTCCAGCTGAGCGGACATGGCTGGCCAGACGAGAAAGGCGCTGCCCTGCGCCACAATGGCCAATATGGAGAGCCCGTAGACAAACAGATCCGCAGATTTCCATTGCAAGCGTGTGCCAGTCAACAGGTCTGAGACAAAATGTTAAGCAAAACAAATGGCAATCAATTTAATTGCTGTCAGGCAATCAGATAAGATGCTAGATGGAAGTCATTAGATGTGTTCGCACTCACTGAGAAGTGCCGGTACGAAGCCAACGCAGCAGCCGAGCATCGCTCCACGCGTCACATCCAGCTGCGGCAGCACGGTGAAGGTGAGCAGGGCCAGGCCGATGACGTGCAGCAGTTCAAAGAGTGTGACCTGATTAGCGACAACAACAACAACAACAGCAACGATAGCACTTACTTTAAGCTTGTCAATCTTTTGACTACAATAGATTACTCACGAGCGCCACTTCCAGACCGCTGGGCCGCTGTTCTCGCTTGAACATGGAGATGCGCAGAGCGCGCAGAAAGGTGAACAGCTCGGGGGCGGCAAAGGCAAAGATCAGGGCCCAGACCCAAGCAATTTGTTCCAGCTTGCTGCGCACAGCCATCACCTGGCCATCGAGTAGAACTGCGGGCAGAGACAGACAGACAGACAGGCAGGCTAAGCAGCTTATTACAAAGAGCTTTGCAGGGCCTTTACTTACGGTATTTGGTGCACACTCGCACCACTGTATCGCCATTTGTGTTGCCCGCCATATAAAGATAAATCAGATTGGCCGCCACGCTGCAGGCCAAGATCACGGCAAATACCAGCAGATAGACGAAGAGCTTGAAGAGCTTGAGGAAGAACTGCAACTTCTTCCAGTAGGCGTCGGAGCCGCTGGTCCGCTTCGCTGGCGGGTCTTGAAATGAGTCCCACAACGGTGGCTTATCGCGCACTTTGCTGCAAATAATAGTCGATTTTATTGCCAATTATTAAATTAACACGTTGTTGTTGTCTCTTTGGCCCAACTGCAACTAACCGACTGCGCATAAAGTAGTTGCTCTCGTAGTCCGCACTCATGTCCGTCATCGACTGTTCACGTTTTCCAACTGACTCGCCACAGGCAGCAGTTAAGGTTACGAATCGTCGATATCATCGATGTGCGTAAGTTGACAGCATGTCAACAAGCCGCGTCCGATAAGGCCATTGGCACGAAGTTACCTCTTGCCTCTGCAATACTCTCATCAAAATCACCTATTAAATGACATTTTATGCACTCTGCAAATATCATGGCAATCTTCTAAAGCTCTGCCGACATTCTGGGTGTGTTCTGCCAAGGCTTCATCTTTGCCATTTCTTGTAAGTGCACTAACTTATTATCTTCAATAATTCAATTGACGCACCTTGTGCCAATGTTGTAAAAGCTTCAGCTCTATCAATGATAACAATGCCCGACGGAAGTAGCTGGCCTCTGCTTGAGAGTTATCAATGAAATCAGTTCGCTAAATGAAAATTACAAGCATAGTCTATTATATCAAGTGCTTGCATTAGATTTGATTAGTTAGTTAAGAGTGAGTCTATATAGTATAAGCAATTGAAATATTAAATGTTGAATTAATTAATAACATTGAAAATGCATTAAGTCTCAGAGAAGGCTGCAGAGCAAACATTTTTGCAATCAGTAGCTGTAACTGTGCTTCCCATTGAAAGTTGCTAACAAAGTGCTAAATATATATATTTATATTTATGAAACAAATTTATGTTTTTATACTCTGAAATGAGGCACTCAAATGCACAGCAAAACGCGACTACAGAAAATGTACATACGTTAATACTCTGTAACGCAGGGGAATCTAAAGAACTTGAAATATTAAATATGTATATGCTAACAGACACGCCCATTCACGCCCATTCACTAAGACAATCAATTGCAACAAATTGTCAATTGCAAACCGCAAACCGCAAAACGCTGAAGATAATCGTTCAAAAAGTATTGCATACTTTTGGCAGTTGCAAAAAGGTTTGAAACTCAGCTATCAAAACTAGCTAAGTCAAAAAGCAATAGATGGCGCTGCAAAACATTTTCGTTTTTCCTTCAACCTGGACAAATTTGACAAAGTAACTGTATAAATTAGTTATAAAAAAAAACGAAAACCAACTCAGAGCCAGCTTATTTAATTTCTTAATATACAAATTAACATATAAATAAACATATTTTAAATACAATAACAATACAAATAACAATCACGTTACTTAATATTATTTGGTTGCATATTTAACACTAGTTACAATATAAATTCGCAAAACTTTAAAAAACAATAATAGCGCTCACTGACTCAACAGCATAGGCAAAGTTCTTAATCTTCTTAATTTGCTTTCACATTTTGATTTAGTTTTGTTTTATATATGATTTAAAAAAAAAGAGGAATACTATACAAGAATAGTCGACACTTTTACTTAATACTATAGACAGTACAAACTTATTAAAAACTCAACAAGAAATGCATTTCGCATGGACAAAAACATGTAAAATCTTTGGCAAACCAGCTGAAGCTCGAGCTCAACTTGCTTAACACATCTTTCGAGGCATCTCCTGGTCTTCACTGTCCTCCGAGAGTGGTGGACGCGCAGCGTCCAAGTCCCGAGCATCCTCCATTGTGGTGGGCAGCACTTTGTCGGCCGTCTCGGGAAAGCCTAGCGTCAGAAACCCGCTGACCAAGGCGAAGGTGGCAAATAGTATAGACGGCGCATGCTCATAGTATTTGGCCTAAAGCAAACAGAGCTTAGCCAAACGTTTTCTACATATGTATAAAGAGAGTCTACGACTTACCAGCAAAGGAGTTTGCGGCGCCAGCATGGAGCCAATGCGTCCAATCATAGAGCACAGCGAGAGCAAGCTATTGCGCACATTTGTGGGAAAGATCTCCGAGGTAAAGAAGTATAAGATCTGAAAGCTGCACGTAATTGCCAGCTTTCCGATGAGGAACAGCGTCAAGGAGCCCGCATAGTCATCTGAAAGAGACATAAATTGTAAGTATTTATGATACAAATATTTATTTAATATCGATCAACTAACCCGATCCGACTGCAGTTGAGGCGGCCATGCAAATGGCACATACCAACATGGATATGCACAGCGAATACCTTCGGCCAATGCGGTCCATGATGATGAGTGGCAGAATCAGACCCGGAATCTGCACGAAGCCATTCAACATGAAATTGTTGTACTTGCTCCCGCCCAGATTCACCGAGTTCAGGCTCAGTCCGAGCGCAATCAGCGTGTGGGTGAACCAGCAGAAGCAGCAGTTGGCAATGCGCCAGGCAAAGAAGCGAGCCGCCTGCATAATGGGATATTGACTCTCATTGGCCTGCTGCAGCTTCTGGCGATTGTTGGATAGCAGCTCCTCGATCTGCTCCTCTGGCAGAGGTCGTTTATTGATGTGAGCTGCTCGCCTCAGCACTTCCGCCGCTCGTTTCTCCTCGCCCCGGCAGAGCAGCCAGCGCACGCTCTCGGGCAGAATCCAAAGGAACAGCACATGCAAGATGGCTGGCAAATAGAGCACTCGCAACAGCCAGCGCCAGTTCTGCACTTGTGACGCCAAGACGCCCAGCAACGCCTCGCCAATAGAATAGAAAATTGTGATGATCGTTGCCGCCGCCACACGACGCTTGGGCCCCACCAGCTCGATGGCCAGCAAAAAGGCAGTGGGAAAGAGTGTGCTGCCCACAGCCATATCCAGGAACTCGAAGCACAAGAACATAGCATAATTTGTGGATAATGAACGAATGACGCCCATTAGAGCGCTCAGACCTCCGGCAATGGCCAACATAGTGCGACGTCCATAGCTAAAAATTGCAATTAAAAATATATTTATTTACTTATATAGATTCATTTCGTCATACTAACCGATCTGCAAAATAGCCACCCAGAGGTATGCCCACAAATTGGCCAATATTGTTCACGGTGCCCACCATGGAGAGCTTCCACTCGTCTTTGCAAAAGATGTCAAACTAAGTAAATAAATAATATTTATTTGTTTATTCAAATATACAATTCAACACTAAAATTAACAAAAAAAAAAAAAACAAAGATTATTTTATTAATGAAAGAGAAGCTAAATAAAATTAAGTCTTCAATCTAGAACTAGCTAGAGAAGTAGCTCAATTTGAATCAAAAGCCCTGATTCATAGTAAAAGATTAAAACTTAATCAAGTCTACAAAAAAAAAACCCAAATAAGATTAGATACTTCAGCACTACGAACAAAAATTGTCTGTCATTTGTTTTCAATTACAATTTACTTGATAGAGGAAGAGAAAACAAGGCGAAAAGCACGATTCGACTTGAATTTGAAAAGGGCAAAATAAATTTGTGTTTTTGTGCATTCAAATAAAATTTTAAATGTTGTACTTTAGTGCAATTGAAGCAATTTGTTTTCGAATTCCTAGAAGTACAGCAAGACAGTCAATTATGCCACCTTTCAGGTTAAGTTATGTTGTAAAGCTGTCAAATAAAAGACCGATAGCAGAGCAAACTGATGTGGGAACAAATCTAATTGAGGAGAAGAAACAATTTAAAATAGCTTCAACGACAATACGATCAGGTCTGCACAAAGATGAGTTTATTCTGCAAACATCCCCAACATATATAAGCATATATCAATATATATATTTGTATATATATATTTATTTATTTATTTATATATTTATTTATTTATATATTTATTTATATATTTATTTATTATATTTATTTATTTATTATTTATTTATTTATTTATTATATGTATAGTAAGGCAGTTATTAGTATACAAATAAATGAATTAATCAAATGCTTACCTCTGTGGATATGGTTTTCTCTTCATCACGAAATTTGAAATCTGTGCCGCAGTTCTCTGTGCGATTGCCAAAGTATTCAGCTGCACAAAACTTAGTTGAAGGCTCGCTAAATGTTGGCGACTGAGATTCAAGCGTGCTCTCATAACGGCTGCACGAATCCCAAGCGGAGTTCTTAAACGGCACCGTAAAGTTTAGCCAAGGTTCCTCGTACACGCTGCCAGGGCTGTCGCATTGCGTGACATTACATCTTAAGAGAGCAAGAGAAAACGTGCGTGAGTGAGAGCGACGTGTGCCAAGTGAGCGTTGCTTTACCTGTGCACCACCGTGCTGGCGGTAAAGACGTATGAGATCGAGAAAAATGCATTGAACACCATGGGCACACACAATAAAGCATAATTGATCAACTGAAAGCGCCCGAATTGCCCAATTCGCACCAGAATGGCATCCAGGGAGTTATCTTCATCAGCGGATGCCTCCACTCTCCCAGCCTCAGTCTCCGGCCCAACGAAATGCCCATTGGATGCAGTGGGACACTCGTGGTCCGCTGAGGCACCTGAGGCTGTGCCATTTACATTCCGCTTGTCGTTCAACATGTGTTCGATTGTGATAAACTAGCTACTTTCAATGAAACTGCCTGCTATCCACGTGTTTGAATGCACTTTTTATCTATTTGCCGATTGCTAGCGTTTTATTAATAATATAGGAGGAACGTGAGCTTTTTATAGCCCAAAGTACGTATAAGAATTCGTATATTTATGTGCGCACGCGTCTCTCCGACACGCTGGAGCGTCCGACACTGAGCATTGCCGATCATTGACTGATTCGCTCTGCTGCGCCCATCACACGAACTAGCTACGTTTGGGATTAAACTCATTACACACTACACTGAGAGTTGAGCGGCTCTAGCATTTGATATGTGACACAATATAAACTACCATCATTTTTGCTATTATTAATCTTTAAGCTTTTTTTTTAGCTCTTTAAATAAATTAATATATCTAATAAACAATATATATAAACAATATAATAAACAATATATAAAATTATGATAAATATGATTATAAAATTTTAAATTATTGCTTTTTTTTAAATCAGAATCAGATCAGAAGTTTAAAATTGTTTGTTATTGATTAATAAAAGACATTATATATATTTTTTCTTAGTTCTGTGCTCAGTTTTATCTCTCAGACGTTTTATATTTATTTTTATATATAAAATTGTATTTATTATTATATATTTTGTACTGTAACATTAAAAACAAGGGTATATGTTTATCAAAATAAATTAAATTCTTTTCCTTAAAACATCAAGCATAAAACAAATATTTAAAGCATACGAAAAATATTTTCGGAATATTTCACTTTTCACTCTCTTTCGTTAGTTTTTTGTGCTCTGTTTTGATTCGCTTCTGAATGATTACGATACTTAACGGCATGCTTGCCACAGATACGAGATACGAGATCCGCTCTCCGTCACTTTTACTACACACATGGCTTCAATGGACTGCTCTTATCGTGACGTTATCAACCAGTCTAGCCGGTTTCATAGTAAATTCTATTTGCTAGCTAACTGCACCGGAGGCCCATAAATGGCTTCAATACAAATTGATTATTATTGACTCTTTATTGCCAAATTACAATTTTTGGCCCCGCCAAACTTTCTGCTACGTACAGCTGAGATAAATGAATCGTTCCTTTTTTATTATTATCAACAACAATTACAAATTAGATACTATAGATTCCATTACAACTTTTATAAATCAACTAGTTTCAATTAAGCAACTTTAGGCTTAATTAATAAATCATAAATAATTTACAATTCTCATTTTGTTTTGACTTTAGTACAGGTGTAAAGATTATAAACAGATTTTTTTAGTTATTAGGCAACATTAAAGATATATGAATGTATGATAAATCAGGTAAGAATTTATTGAAACACGATTCTGCTTTAATTAAGGAAGCAGTAAATTTCATTTCCAATTTGTATAATAAATGATTTTTGATATACACAAATGAATAATAAATGATAAGATTAGCTGGCAATTGAAAAGCTATTTGATAACTGTATATGTGTATTAGATAGAGAGATTGTTTAGCAAAGGTTTCTAACAACGAAACCTAAGTGAAGCATTTGTTCTCTGTAAATTTTTTGACAAGTTTTAAACTGTCTTAATGTGGCCCACCTTAGTGAATAGTGCAAAAAAACTAACTATTTGTAAAATACAAGCTACACAAGTTAGACCAAACCGCTTCTGTACCCCATCATTATAAATAATATTCAATGATATCTCATATCTGTATTTGCATAGGCCGCTGAAAGTTATATACATAAATAAGCTGACAGCTACAAATTAGACAGATCACAACGGACTTTTTGTGTTGTCAACATTAAATATTCATAAATCTATCTGTAATTAGAACATGATAATTTTCCAACTAGTTAAAAGAGGAATTCAGAAAAGTAATTGAAAACTTTTCACTGTAGGCAATTATCTTGTTATAGCAAATACGAATCGAATAGTAATCGACTCCAATATATAAATTTAATTTGATATTTTTGCATGTCATTCAATGCGGCTATCTGATAGTCAAATATTTACAATAGCCAATTGAACCCAAACATGCCCAGACATTGCCTCTATCACTGATTAGCCAGCAGTTTTTGAAACCGAGTGTCTCATCGCCTGATTACTGTCCAGGGCGCAGGCCTGCTCCATGGTCGACAACTGGTGGGAAACAAAGAAAATGAGTACCATAGAGCTGTCTGTGCTGGTCATTTGAGCCACAAAGAAGAGGTACCAGGCCAATGTCGGATAGCCTGTGAAGTATATCTACATAGTAGCCCTCCAGTAACAGAAAGCTGGCAGTTAGATCTCCATAACTTTTGCAATTATTATTTTTAATTATCTTCGACACTCCTGCTTAGTAGCTGAAGCTGATGCAATGAACTTACCAACATAATATAAAGACTATGTTCGAGTCCATGTCTTCTAAGAAAAGACGCTCTTCAGAACTCACCCTACATCAGATAATGCTTATCAGCTTGACCAGATGATAAGCAGATGTTCCATCTGGTCTCTATCTATATATATATGTTAGTTTTAAGAGAACCCTTGACCGTCATAAAACCTTATTTTTATGTATATTTAGGATACATATAATGTAATGTCATAAATCATTATTGATCCTTAGAACCTAAGGCTTACAATAAAACACATAAACAAATACTTAGTCTTGGTTCTGCACCAAGGACTGAAATAAACACACAGCAGTCTGAAATTCAAAAACTTTTTCATTTTTCAATTTGTGTTATTTTATTGTTAAACTTTATGCAAGAATTTAAAAAATATCACTTGATGTTGGAGTGTGTTGTTTGTTTAGAGAGACTGTTTAGCTAAGAATACAAATACAATATCATATTTAAGATTACTAAAGCTTACTCGCACTGAGAACTTGGAGTGTATATAAAGCAAGTGCTAGAAAACAAACAATCAACTCAAGAATTTGTTCTCAATAACAGCTTAAATGAAGTTAACTTATGGATTTTTCTAACCACTTAACAGGCTTTTAACTGGTTTTATATGGCGTGCCGCTAGCGAATACTGCATAAAAGTGCCTACTTTTAATATACAACCTACAAAAGTTAGTCGTAAATCATTTCATCTACCCACAGTTGTAAATACCGTCCGAAATGTTGCATTTGTGTCAAACAAAATGTGAACTAATAATAATATATCGTTAGAGATTCTACAAAAAATATTCTCATATAAGTATACGTTATATAGTGCTATATATATAAACTGATACAGTGTAAATTGGCAGCTGTCGGCCGCAACTACAACTTGGTTTTTTGTCTATGTTCCTAGTTATATATCAATCAATCTTATAAATTTGCAAGTATGATAATTTTCCAACTAGTTAAAAGGGGAATGCTCCGACCAATCCAGACTGTAACTAGAGTGTTTACAGATTATACATAGGATTACTGGTGGCGTCGAACAGCTGAGTGCCCGTCGACTCAATCATCGAACGCAGCGCAATGCTGCGTTGCTTGGCCACAGCCTTGCGCAGTGTCAGCTCAAATACGTTATCCTCATCAATGTTGTCCATGGGTAAGTGATCCCTGCTGTCCGCCGGTTTATCCGGATTCTGAAACACCAATTGTTCGTGCTCGTACAAAACGCATGTTTCAGCAAATTCCTTGGCAAAGTATTGTGCCGTGTTCCGGCTCTTGATGACCTCGCTTGGAAAGCATTGCAGTAGCTCCTCGAAGCTCAGCTCTGCTACCAAATTATTTAGTATTTCTATGAGAGAAATTTAGTTAGTTTAATGCTCTATTTAAACGTTAAAAGCCGCCACAAACCTGCAATATGCGATTTCCAATTGGGCAGCGCTTCTTGTTTACTAAGAATCTTACGCAGCAACGACTCCCAATGCTTAGGTGTAAATCCGCAGGACTGTTAGCAAATAAAAAATAAAGTTAACTAAAAGTTATATCAAATAAAACTCATTTCTTACCTTGCCATATTGCCACAAGTAGGCGGGACAGAAGCTCAACATATAATTAATAGCCAGATTCTTGGGCAATATTATGACCAAGAAGCTATCGATGCCTATTAGATGCGGCGATTTCTGTATGAATGCCAAAAACTCAGAAATTATCTCGCGATCTACCTTGCTGGAGGCCAGCAGACTCTGGATCTTGAGAGTCAGAGTCAGGAGCTCATTGTGCCAGCCCGTAAAGCGCACCTCGAACTCTCCTTCATCCTTCTTGGGATAGCTAAAGTCGCTACGCTCAAAGGGCGGCAAGCGATTCAAGTATTGCGGACGTTCCAGCAAGCATGGAATGGGTCGTATATAGGCCTTGATGTGTTGCTCGAATTCCTCGCCCTCTACTATCTTATAATCGGGTATATAGGGTACAAATATTAGCTTGTTCGATAGTGGTTCACTGACATGTCGCACGCTTGGCTTGCTGCAATAGTTGGGCGCCATACCAACCATGTATGCAATGCATTCCATGCGCAGATTTAAGAATTCCTCGCGGCTGCTTTGCTGCTCCACATCGGCGGATTGCAGATCAGTAATGAGATCACTTAGAGCCTTCAAGCGGCCCATGAACATGCGAAAGAGTATTTTGAGACCTTTTAGATTGATTGCTGCTGCATCACCGTCTGGCTGCAGCTGCGACAACGAAGCATTTGAACTGCGCTTTTGAAAAGGCGAACCGGCCTGCTGATCCTGCAGCTGGTCATATACAATGCGCTGCTGTCGGCCGCTGATCGAACGCTCATCGGGCGCTGAGCTGGCACATGAGCTCGACAACGACTGCACATCCGCCTCACTGTGCAGTGAGGGCGCCCTCGAGCTGCTGCACTCATCGTCATAGTCGTCGTCCAGCTGAGGCGGTGTTTGAGAGCGCACTTCATGCGGCTGCAGCGACGAGCTCACATCGTAAAGATCATAGTAATATACTTGCAAGATGTTGACGAGCACCTTCTGCGAAGTCTGATAGCCCTTCTGACCAATGTGCGAGGCGATGTAGTTGAGAAACAGCTGCAGCACCACGTCCAGCGTTATGCTGTGCTCAATACACAGAGCATGTATGAAGGCATCGCTAATCGCCTCAATCAGAGCTGGCTGCTCGTTCGCCAGCAGAATGGTCTCACAGAAGTCCGAGAAGGAAATTATGGCACTGGGCGTAGGCGTCGAAGCGCAGCCGCCCGACTTGCCCTTCGTTTGTGTTGTGCCACGACGAGAACGTTTACGAGCGGAGAGCTGTGCCTGCTGCTCTGGCTGCTGCCGTCGCTGATAGAGAACAGTGCTGTCATCAAAGAGCACGTTCTTATGCTTTATCAGCGCCACAGCCAGTGTGCGACGCGTGGACTTAGCAATTATTTCCTGGGCCAGCAGATAATTTGACATGCGACAAGCGGTGACAGCTAACAGCAGATTCTCATCGGGTGTGCTGCAAATAGCAATTAAACAATTACATTCTGACTTCGATAAGTAATGCATGGTCCACTTACAGCGTCGTCAAGTACTTAAGATAATTGATCAGCTCTCCGCTCATGGCATCGGCTACCACAGGCGAACTAAGCATTATCGATGGTATATCCACGGGTGCATGTTTGATGAACATATTGAGAAATTCCATGGAGAGAGGAACTTGTTTATAGCCCTGCTGCAGCAGTCGAGCAGGCGTGAAGTATGGCGACACAGTCTGATGCAAAAACGAAGACCTGAGCCGATCGGTGCCCAGGCTCAACAGAAACAGTTTTACGGTATAGATGAGACCAACCAGCTGCGACGTTTCTACCACCTGTTCACTGCCCATGAACTCTGCAATGTAGTTGTTATAAATGTCCACCAATTGGAGTTGGCACATCTTGTAGAAGCCAGTTGCTTGCAAGTAAACTTCCTGCTTATTGGAGCTGTTGTCGAAAGTTAACGAAATATTATGGTCTACATATATATATAGTATATATGACTGTTTTCATACCGTATTGAAAAGTCGGCCAATTTTCTACAATTAGCCACAAACATTTTACGCAGCTCCTGTTCCCTATCCACACTCAGGCGTTCGCCCTGCAAGGTCAAACTCAACCTGAGCATTATATGCGCCTCCTCCATTAAATCGTAGAAATTCGAGCTGCTAGCGGTACGATATGATTCGGCTATGCCTTCGAGATCCTCTATAATGTGCTCTACTTTGGGCACCTCCAGATTGTAGAGTGTCCATTCATTTACCACCGACGATTGGGCGGCGCTACTGCTGCTTCTCAGCAAGCTGCTGTGTTTGGCCTTCGCCTCTGCCAGGAATCTGGCTGCAATATTGCGTTTGACAGGCACCACGACAACCTCACCAGTGCTGCGCCGCTTGTGCTGCTCCAGCGCTGTATTTGTGATGAGCACCAATTGCTCCCGATTTACGCAAACGAACTGCACGTGCATAAAGGCGGCCAGGCCAATAACAGCAATGGGTGAGCTGACGTCTGGCGAGGACTCCTCTGGAAAGAGTCCGCCAATGCTCGGATACTCAAAGCGATTGTGGAAGAGCTTGTGCCCGATGCGTGAGGTATGTGTTTCCACAGACTCCGAGGTGACGGCATAGATAACGTAATCGTTCACATGCACCTGCAGCACAGGAGCTGTAAAGCTGTAGCTGGCCACAGGCTTCTCGTTCTCGCTGTACCACTTGCCCTGCGCACAGAACTGATACAAATAGCCATCTACGCTGCTGGCCACAAGCAACGCATGTCCCACACAGCGCTGATGCTGCGAGGACTTCAGGGTACGGCGATTGGCATGCTTGAAAGTTGTCACGGCACTGGGCACCTGTTGGTTGCCCATGTCATACTCGTCATCCTCCTCTGGCTGCTGCTCGTTGTTGCGCTGATAGATGGCCTTCAAATCCATGCATCTGAGTATATCCAAGACTCGCGACTGTGGATCTGACGTTTTCATGCATATCTGCAGCAGTTTTCGTATATCGTACTGCACAGACACGTCTTCCGTCACACTGTTTCCGCCTGCACCTATGCCTCTCACATTCATGGCCTTCGCTTCGTTGATAAGTTTTATTTTAATATATGAGGCTCGCTGTGGCGTTATGGTTATCTCCTGTGTGTTATCTTCCTGGCCGCCGCAGCGACTGCTGCCATTCTCGCACTGGTCCCATTGAGATCGCAGCTCTGGCTCAAATTCTCGTCCATAGGCCGTGTTCACCAATCGCGCCACATTGAAATCGAGGGGCGTGCGTCCAACCAACCCCGGTCCGCTTATCAACACAGGCTTGGCGCTGCTGGACGATTGCAAAGAATCGCTTTCACAGCTCTGCTGACTGTGCGTGCTGCTGACAGCCGCTGCGCTCGCCTTGCTGCCCAAGCTGAGAGACTCGGATAAGGGCTCATCGCCCGCATAGTCATTGTCCAGGCAGCTGTGCTCATGACCTGCTGCAGCAGCGGTTGTTGCCTTGTTGGCCAATGCATCGACCACCTTGAAGGCCACACAATAGCGATGATTCAAACAGGCGATGACATTCTCAGCCAGGCACAGGCGCAACGGCACAAAGTTCAGCTGTACGAAGAACTTGAAGGGCAGAAAATCGATGAAGGAGAACCTGGGCTGGGTGTTCTCGTGCACGCACTGCGTGTACTCGTACAGATAGATTCGATCCTTGCTGCTCACTATAATGTTGCCTGACGTTTGGCAGCTCTGCACCAAATCTGGCGGACTGCGCAGCGGCAGCTCAATTACATCGATGCTTTCTATCAGCGGCGTCTTGGGCGTTGTCATCGAGGCAATGCGTATGGTGATGGGCAGCTCATTCAGCTTGGCATCTGGGAACTTCCAAAAGTTGGCATAGATGCGCACAAACATTTTGGTGTCATCCTCGGAGCAAACCGTGTTGCTATTGCTGCTCGACGTGCAGCTTATACTGGTGCTATTCGAATGCACCGGACTGCCAGCCTGTTCCTTTTCCAGGGTGAGCAGGTACTTGCCTGGAGGTAGGGATTATAGCAAGTTCAAGGATGATATGATATGAATATATGCCATGCTTACCAGCCTCGCAGTAGATAAGCTGCACCACCTCGCCAACTGTAGCCAAGGTATACCTAACCGGCATACGTTCATCAATCGCTGGCGTGGGCGATGCAGCATCTCCTGTTTGATCCTCCTGCGTGCCATATTCCTGCTGCTCTGACTGCTGCTGGTTTAGTGTCTGTGGCTGTGGCTGTGACTGCTGCTTGCCAGCTATGTCATAGATCTCGATAAACTGCTCGGCACTGCTGATGGCAATGCGGTTGTTGCCAATTAAGGTGGCTGCCAAAATGTCGCCATTTAGAGCATATGTCTGCTGCTTGGCAAAGTTATAGGCCTGCAAAATCTTCACCATGGCGACGCTGTCCTCACTGCAAGCGGCACAAAAGTAAACGAACCACTTAAAAGCAATCAAATCAAATGGAGCACTGCAATGCGATATAACGCCCCAGTGACTTCATCGTCCGCCGTTCAATAGAGACTGAGCTGCTTCGCTGCTCAAAGCCCCCTAAAGAGTGACGATGATGTCGACCGTCTGATTGTTGAGTCTGAGTGGGTTGGCTATGCCACTGACTACTCTCTATTAGCAGGGGGCTCGCTCAAGTAGTTGTTGTCGTTCTCGTGGGCAGCAGCCATTAGCATAATTGTGCGTTTATGCTGAGAGGCAGAGCGCTGACTCTAGCGTAATTCTATCGCATACACTTCTATATGTTAGTGCGTTTGTCGTAGAGGGTTTGTCATCTTGGATTACCACAGTTTACATTAAATTAATTTTAATAATACATTTGATATTTCTACGCGGTTTACAGACGTCTCTCTTTGTCTCTTTCTTTCATACATGTATACAAAAAAGCTATGTTTGTTTTCAGTACTATTTGAGATCGGTCTAAATTGGGTTCTAGTTTTACAATTTATTTGTAAATATATTTACTATGAATTTAAATTTTTAATAAACATTTTTTTTTACAAAATTTTTGATTTTTTTTTTAAATATTTAAATTAATATAAGTAAATTAAATTTTTTTATAACACCTAAAAAGTTTTTAATATATTAATTTATTTTTCAAAATGTAGTATTTATTAAAAAAAAAACTAAAAATAAAAACAAAAAAAAATATTAAAAAGAATAAATGACAAATTCAAATTTTTTCAAGTCATAATCTTCCACAACATTTAATTGTATTATATTTATATGTTTTTATATTTTTTTTCTATATCAATTCCTCTCTATATCCTAGTTCCAGAGAACATACCATCGCTGGACAGAACTTACTGCTCCCCTAAACAGTTGACAACTGGCACAAATTCTTAAATGATTTTTGATGGGCATAACATGAGATATTACAACAGGTCAGTGCTGCACCTGCTATTTCCTGCTACCATTCATTCTGTCCTCTGTCCATTAATAATGCAAAATTAGGTCACAATTATACATACACAATACCTGGCCACTCGCTAAGCTAACTCACCCAACAAGCCAAGTCAAATCGCTGTCACAGTATTTGGTCAAGCAATAAATATAAATGCCATTTGACTTGGGCTGGGCAGCTTCTACGTGAGCTTACCTAATTAAGCCATAAGTTGACATACTTATATAAAAAAGTTAGAGGTAAATCAAGGGGAAGTCAAGAAACAAAACTTTTGAATATGACGCACCCATGACTTGAAATATACACCGGAAATAGATTCAAACACGACACGAAATATTCTATTTTTGACCACTCAGAGAGCGGGCTCTCGCAGGTCAAATGCCGATCAATAATTGCTCTGATAATTATCTCGAATGCGTGTGCATTAAGCCAAATGAATAAATCTGGTAGTGTGTGTGTGAATGGGCGTGTATGTATATGTTAGTGCGTGTTTGTGTGTATTGTATATGCGTTGCATTTAGCAAGCGGTATTCGAAAAAAATCAATAGCTCTGCGGTTTGCCAAAAATTTATATAATAAGCCGGAACTAAAGGTTTTCACCTATAAATATGCAATAGTAAACTACTAAGCTATTAACAACTACAATTACAATTGAAAACACTTTATATTCAATAATTATTCCACTTCATTAATTATTCAAACAATTTATCCCGTACATTCAAAAAGTGGCGAAGTAGCGTCGTTTGGCTGCAAGCCTTATGCTCCTTTATTCAGTTTATTTATACTGAGTTTTGAAACATTTTAAATGATTTCTAATGCACAAATACACATTTTTAGTAATTTATGTAAAGTTTTGATTGGCAAAACATAATTGGATAAAACTAATTCGCCTGTTTACATTTTTTTGATAGCGTTGCCACTTAGACTACTAAACTGGATGCTAAGAAAACAGCTGTTCGGATAAGCGCGCCATACGGCAGCATTAAAGTACGCTGCGTACTATATGGTTATCCCGCTCGCACGCACGCCCAGCTGATGCCGACCGCTTGTTGCTTTCGAAATTAAAGTCGCGATTTCCCAAAGTGATGTAAAGAAATTATCAAAAAATAAGGATTATGAGTAACTCTACGCGTGCCTTTGTTGGCATGCAGAACAAATATGACCGCGTGGTCTTGTTGGTGGACATGGATTGCTTTTTCTGTCAAGTAGAGGAGAAACAGCAGCCCGAGTATCAAGGCAAGCCCCTGGCAGTGGTGCAATACAATCCTTGGCGCGGAGGTGGCATCATAGCTGTAAACTATGCGGCGCGTGCAAAGGGCGTAACACGCCATATGCGAGGCGATGAGGCTAAGGAGCTGTGTCACGACATCATCCTGTGCAAGGTGCCAAACATCAGGGAAAAGGCCGACACGAGCAAATACCGTGATGCCGGTAAAGAGGTGGCAAATGTGCTGCAACGCTTCACCCAGTTGCTGGAACGCGCATCTGTCGATGAGGCTTATCTGGACATAACAGAGACAGTTAATCAACGTGTCGAGCGGCTTCAGACGGTACGAGTTAGATATATTAAACATGTATATTAGTTTAACTGAATTGCGTTGCAGGGCTCCTTTGCATTGAAGCCCCAGGAGCTAGTCAATTGCCATGCAGTCGGCTATGAAAATATTGGCGAATATGTGAATAAGATAACAAATCGTTTTGCCAATCCCTATGTGGACGATGAACGTTATGTTCTTGCCTACGATCCGAACGATCTGCCGGCTGTGCGTCAAAGCGATTTGCGTCTATTGATTGGAGCCTGCATTGCGGGTGAGGTGCGTGCAGCGGTCAAGGCTGAGACGGGCTACGAATGCTCAGCGGGCATTGCGCATAATAAAATACTTGCAAAGCTTGCAGCGGGCATGAACAAGCCAAACAAACAGACGATACTACCACTGTCACAGATACCTCCGCTCTTCGACCAACTGCCGGTGGGCAAAATCAAGGGAATGGGTGGTAAATTTGGTGAAACAGTGTGCGAATCACTCGGCATTAAGTTTTTGGGCCAGGTGCTCAAATACACCGAGCAGGACTTGCAGCGCAAGCTGGACGAGAAGAGTGGGTAAGACGAGAAAGAAGTCTGAGCTATACACATTTCTCTTAACTAACATTTCTCTTAATTTCTAATTCCCTACAGCACCTGGTTGCACAACATAGCACGTGGCATTGATCTGGAAGCAGTTACACCGCGTTTTTACTCCAAGAGCATTGGTTGCTGCAAAAAATTTCCTGGCCGCAATAATATAACAGGCCTCAAGACACTGCAGCATTGGCTGGGAGAGCTATCCAGCGAAATAAATGATCGCCTGGAAAAGGATTTCATAGAGAACAATCGGAAAGCAAAGCAAATGGTGGTGCAGTACGTGCAGGACATCGATGGCCAAGAAGTGGCTAGTTCCCGTTCCATGCCGCTCAATCAATGTGATCAGGAGACGCTGGCCAAGCATGCTCTAGAGCTGATCAAGACGAACACAAAGACCTTTTTACGTGCGGGCAGCGAGGCTGCCCTCAACAATGCCATCAAATTTCTGGGCATCAGTGTGGGCAAGTTCGAAACGGCATCAAGTGCGCAGAATAGCCTGCAGACAATGTTTGCCAATCAGGCTGCCAAGAAGCGTCGCATCAGCGTGGAGGAGTGTGTGGAAAAGCCAGTTGTGGAACAAAAGGCGAAGCAAACGGAAGAAGGCAAGATGAAGAGTTTCTTTGCGAATTACCTTCAAGCAAACAAAGAAGAAAATGTAAAGGAAAAATTGAAAGTGGTTGAAAAGTCTGCAGAAGTTGTAGCTAATTCGGAAGCAGAGGAAAGTAAAATAACTAAGCTAGCGGGGGAGAAATCGAAACTTAATGCAACAACATCATCACCTAAGAAAAGTATTTTTGAAGCATATAAGCGAAAATTGATCGATGCGTCTGTTGCAGAAGAGTCCAGCGACGACAAGGCAGCGCCTACTTTAACACCACCTGAATTTAAAGAGAGCTTCTTTGCCAAGTATCTGCAGCAGCAAAAAGAAGTTAAGAAAGATGTGCAGCAATCAAATAAGACATCTGAATCCAACGATTCCACTGAAATGCATGACTTGGCTGCCGAGCTGGATGAGATCGAGTCAAGCAATAATAATCCACAGCAAGAAGTTGAGGCTCTGCCGCCACCAGAACAGCCCTCCACATCAAAGCGTAAATTCGAGCAAGCAAAGGCCAACGAAGCAGCGACAACCAGTAACTTTACAAGCACTTATGCTGAGTACGCTCAACCCGAGCTGCGTGCAGACCTTATAAGCTTTGTCAAATGTGATGAGTGTGGCGCCCAAATACCCGACGATGTCAAGGCACTGCAAACCCATCGCGATCATCACTTTGCCCAGCAATTAAATCGACAGCTACGCGCTGAACAGCGCGAAGATGCACAGCGTAGTCGATTGAATGCCACTAATACATCAGCTGCCTCACCCACAACCAAACCTGTGCATGCAAAGAAAGCTAAAAAGGCTAGCGGAGCAACACCAACGACTACATCAGCTGCGAAGCCTGTCAATAGCATTACCAAGTTCTTGGCGCCCAAGCAGCCGCTAGAGCCACCACCCAGCTGCAGCAATGCAACCATGGAGCTCTGCGCTGAATGCAAGACATATGTAAAATCTGTAGATATGCCGGAGCATTTGGATTTTCATATGGCCAAAAAGCTACAGCGTGAACTCAATCAACTAGAAGTGCGCACCATAATTACCTCAACGAACAAAAAAGCAACGCCACCGCCTGCCAACACGAAGCTAAATAGTACCTTAAATTCCAGCTCGGCTAACCATTCTATTACCAAGTTCTTTACGCAAATAAATTAAACGATACACTAAAAGCTTTGCCATAGATACGAAACAATGCTATGAAAGTATTATTATAAATAATGTTGATATTTAAGCACAGCTAAGCTTACTCACGTCAGATAAATCATTCCGATCTGTGTGCCATGTCGAACCAGTTAAGTTAAGTTTTAAGTTTAATTTTTGTTTGCAGTTTTAAGTTGAAGATTTTCTAGTATACAATATATTTGAAATAATTATTAAATAGTTTACACGAATCAATAAAATTCCAATATTATTTTATAGAATATTTGTATCCCATATAAAAATCTAACAACTCTTTCGAAGCTATGATTGCCTTTGTCAGAGGAAAAGTTCGAGGCTTTCGGACTACTAGAAAACTATGTTTGTTTGGCTGCAAGAAAAATATGTACATTCAAGTTAAGATCATGGCAATAGGCATTTCTTATATTGTGTAGATTTATCCGTCTATATATGATGCTATATGGAATAGTCAAAGACCAACCATATGCCAAGCAGTTCTGTTAAATTAGGTGGCATTTAACATATTTAAAGATAAATGTAAAGCTCTGATCTGAGGAGCGAATGCAGTGTGTTTTAATTGTTACTTAATAATATTAATCATATTCACAAAAAAAAAAAAGATATAGAGATATTTATATATGGGAATAAGTATAAATGATATATAATGCAAAGTTGTGTCTTTGAACTGTCTCGTGGTTGTCTTACAGCTAAAAGGAGCTTATTGTAGTAAGGCTATTATGCGGGTAGGTTGATATTCTGATCCTTTGGTGGCTTCTTGACACCTATGGCATGCGCCTCCTTGACCGTGGTGGGCAGCACGAGGTTTGTGGTCTCGGGGAAGAAGAGAGTGAGGCAGCCGCTGAAGATGGCAGCGCAAGCAAAGAGAATGGCGGGAGCGCTTGCATAATACTTGGCCTAAAATAGAAAATAATTGAGTTAAAATAGAATGTGCGAAATGTGAACAGCATTTAGTTACCAGCAGCGGCGTCTGCGGCGCCAGCATAGAGCCAAATCTGCCCATCATGGAGCAAAAGCTGAGCAGGCTGTTCCTCAGGCTGGTGGGAAAGATCTCCGAGGCAAAGAAATAGAGCACCTGGAAGCTGGCAGTGATGGTCAGCTTGCCCACCAGGAAGAGCACCAGCTGCAACGTTTGCTGTTCACCCCCAGCGAAGATGGTGCCAATGCAGCAGAGGCCACTCAACAGCATGAGGCCACACAACGAGTAGCGTCTGCCAAAGCGATCCATGATGAGCAACGGCATAAAGAAGCCGGGAATCTCGACAAGCGCAATATAAGCGAAGTTGTTGTACTTGTCGCCATCCAGGAGCACAACATTCAAGCTCAGTCCATAGTAGACCAGCACATGGACGATCCAGCACAGGGAACAGTTGGCTATGCGCCATTTAAAGTTGCTGAAAGCCTCGCGAATGGGAAATTTACTCTCCTCCGACTGCTGCAGCTTGTCTCGATTGGCTATGACCAGCTTGTCCAGCGCACTCTCCGACAACTTGCGTTTGTTCACTTTGGCTGCCCGACGCAGTATGCCGCGGGCACGCTCCTCCTTGCCGACGCTGAGCAGCCAGCGAACGCTCTCGGGCAGTATCCAGAAGTAGGCCAACAGTATCAACGATGGCCCATAGGTGATGCGCAGCAAATCGCGCCAGTTTTGAAAGGACTTGGCAAACATGGCCAAAGCCACTTCGCCGACGGCATAGAATATGGTTATAACGCTGCAGGCGAGCACCCGACGTTTCGGACCCACCAGCTCAATGCCAATGACAAAGCACGTGGAGTAGAGGGTGCTGCTGGTCAGATTGTCCAAGAACTCAAAGATCAGAAACCAAATATAGTTGGGCGAATACGAACGCACAATGCCCAGCACGGCGCCCAAAATGCCGCCCAATGCAATCGAGAAGCTGCGTCCATAGCTGTAAATGATTCGAAATGAGCAAGGGAAAAGGTGACAATGGAAAACTTTCACACATACCGATCAGCCACAAAGCCCCCCAGGGGTATGCCAAAGAACTGTCCCAGATTGTTGATGGTGCCGACCAGTGACAACTTCCACTCATCATCGCAGTAAATGCCAAACTATAGAAGCGAATTAAAAATAGTTAAAAATAGTTAAATAAAAATAAATAAAAATAGTTGAGTTAACTTATCCTTTCTGATCTGTCTCGCTTAATGAAAAAGTTTCAATGCAACAAATTGGCATTACAATGGCTTCATTTGGCAGGTCACTTATCCACTTGAGTCGTTTATTCATCTGATAATCTGCTATTTATGTGGCTCGCTTCCATTTGCATATCTAATCTAGATTCGTTATTTACGAATGCTGCAATTGCCGGTGGCCCTGAAAACTGAGCTTCGGACGGGACTCTGTCTACGGCTTGTGGCACATTTATCTTACGTTTATCAAGGCCAATAAGTTGAGTGATAAGACGCTGAGGTTATCAGCAGCTAATTGAGGTAAACAACTCTAGGCTCTACTCTAACAATAGTATTATTAAGCTCCTACAATTAACGAATTGCCGACTTCCGAATGCCCTTGATCCTAAATAAACTCTCTGGAATTTAGAGACGGTCTACAAACATTCGTCACGCGGCTTAAAAACGTAAACAAATAATTTTTTGTCAATCTATAGAGTAGTTGTGGCTTAGGCTGTAAAACAGTCTCGATTTGCTATGCCCCCTATGAGCTAAACTATATCTGTATATATAATAGTTAGATATGAACATTTGTCACGTTTCTCTAACTTTAAAAGGGCCATAAATAAAAGCATTTACGTTACAAAAAGTAGAAAAATTAACTATTTGTGACAGCCTACGAGGGCACACACAACAAACTGTACACGAAATCAGAAGCTGAGAAAATAATTTAAATTTGATAGCATCAAACCTATATACTCTCTTTGCTAGAAATACTCGGAAGCTTACGAAGTTTTATCAATTCTGTTTCAGCTGTTTTTACTCCAGAATCATATAAACAAATATTTTAATATTCAACTGAAATAAATGAAGTGCAACTAAAAGCCTAAATAATAAGCCAAAGTTAAAGTAAGTAAAACAAAGATATATACATATAAATATAATATATATATATATATAATTATATAATTAGTTAATTAAAAGTAATAGCATTTCAAACCAATCGCCCTATAGCTGTTTTTTAAGTAACTTATTCTTTCAACTCACTTTAAGCTCTGCGATTATGATCTAAAGTCTGTTTTTCACGCTTATAAATCAATAAAAATAATTAATTGAAAGAAAAACCAGACAAATCCCAAATTAAGAAAACTTGTTTTAGTGACACAGATAACTAAATGTTCTTAAAATTTATAACTAATAACTTAACAAAAACAAATAGCTTTCAAATATATACGACTTCTAAGTGCTGGGTTTAAATAGATACTGATAGCCACTTAGCCTACCCGATTTCAATTAGATTTGAACAAGTGTTTAATGAGCGCTGTAAGACTTGCAGCTGTCTGGCCCGCTCTTATCGTGCATTTTACAGTTATACAGTTATGTAGGCCCCTCTGCGAGGGTAGCTGATCAAAGGTGACAGCAGGCAGCTAGGGGCTGGCGTAGTCAATGAACTTGTGATTAGATTGCCAAATAGTTGTCGACGAATTAGCGAGTTGGCGATTTAGCCAGCATGGCTCAAGTCTTGCTTGGATCACTGACATGTGCAGAAAATCGGATGACTTATTATCAAAGTCCATGCTTGCCGAGAGTCTGGTGTTTATAATGGGCCCTGGACTTATAACTGATAAGTGCTGGGGCCCCCATCGTCGTCTCGCTGACGTGGTTAATCGCAAAACTGAACTTTGATACTCACGTCATTGGAAATAGTGAATTCTTGATCGCGGAAAAGGAAATCGTTGTTAGCACAGCGCTCGGCGTTATCCTTGTTGTACTTATCGGCTAGGCAAATATTCGAAGTTTGATTCCAGGTGGAGAGCTCTGTGTTCTCATAGCGACGGCACTTGTCCATATCCTTGCCATTCTTTGGTATGCTGAACTCTGTCCAGGGCTCCTCATATCGGCTGCTCGGCCCATCGCACTCTGTAATGTTACATCTGTTGATTCGAAGAGTTACGTTCGTGACTTGCCGCCGACTAACTCACTAACTTTAAGTAAAGTTCACCTGTGCATCACAGTTCCAGCCGTGAAGACGTAAGTCACGGAGAACATGGCATGGAACATCATTGGCAAGCAGATCAGCAGGAAGATGAACAACTGAAAGCGACCGAACTGTCCAATGTGCGTCAGTATAGCATCGAGTGTTATGTCCTCCGGATCGGCGCCATTTGATTGGGCGACCACCTCCATTTGGCTGATGGTCGGAGGTGGCGACTCCTCGGTGACCGTCATTGAATTGAGTTGTTTTCGCAAATTTGTGCACAATTAATGAACTATTTCGTGTTTATTTATACGCGTGTGTATTTAATGCTTCTCGCTTTCTTCTTATTTTTGCCAAGTTTATTTTTAAATGCGAACAACTCTTACGTTGTTCACGGCACGAAAACACGAGACACACTGCGAACGTCGGTTCACAGCTACAGGGCGATCGCCCAATGATTGACTCAGTCTACGACTTTCGCCCTCTCTCCCTCTCTTCGTGTGTATCTCTCTCTCTGTCTCTCTTTAGACTCGGGCTAATTGCTTAAGTTGGCTCTCATTAGGCCCTGTCCTGACAGACTAGCTTTTCGAATCTAGAAATCGGCACTCTCTGCATTGATTAGATTGCTCAGTTTCATATAACTGTGCTTAAGCCTATCGTGATTGCAATCAAAGATAATCACGTTCACGCACACTCGATAAGAATAAAAGTGTAATTAATGTGTTAATATAAATAATTTATTAAGATTTTTGAGACACTTGAAAATACTATTCACTATGCGTACTAAACTTTTAAATATAATTTGTGAGTTTTTCTTTTAGGAATATATTCAAAATTATTTTTTTAACAGATTTTTTCGATTAAGCCAAAATCTTAAGTAATTTAAAAAAAAAAACATTAAAAAATATTTATATATAAAAGTAAAGTAAACTAAAGTATTTTACTTCCTTACTTTTTATATAATTATAAAATATATATTTTCTTTAATAGAATTTTCGTCGATAAGAAAAAACCCATTTATTTATAAGGCAATACAAATAATTTATAAGATCTAAAACTAAAAAATATATGATAAGATAGTCGAATACTTGAAGATGTAATATATAATTGTATTTATTTATTTTACGTAAACAACAAAATAAATAAATAATATTTATTTTACATAAGCAGAACTAATAAATTTAATTTGTATTTGTTTAAATTACATTTTTTATTTTACATAAACCACAAATGAATAAGACAAACCACAACATATAATAAAAGTAACATAATTAAATTTATATTTTCCTATTATATATTATATATTTAAGTAAATATACTTTTAAATATACTTTTTTAATTTTATATAAATTTTAATTTTATTTTGCTAATTATTTTTGAAGCACAAATTTAAGGGCACATTTTCAATTGATTTGAATGAACAAACTTTTTAATTTATGAGGTAATATATTACACTTGTATTTAAAATAAATAAATATTTTTTTATTGGTTTGTATTATTTATAATTCAGAAATATTTTAAAAATTGTGCTAAATTTAAATTGATGTGAATTAATTAAATTGAAATATAATAATTTGTTTAAATTGTCACTATAAATCATATTTTTAATTACATTGTAAGCTTTATATAAATAAAAATATACATATAGATAAATATAATTACATATATACATATATATATAAAGAGCAATCGCAGTCAAATAGTTTACAGCATTCCATTAATATTTATGTGTTTCGCTTTTCGGATTGACATGTTTTGCATTTATTTCAAACATATTTCATAGTGTTCACGTGCTGCCCGCGTGTTCTTTCCAAAACAAAAATCTGATCTATTTTTATCAAGCTTTTAAAAGAAATAAATACAAACTACACGGGCACCGCAATTTATAAACATTTTTCGAGCTCCAACTAACTGCTAATTGCAAATTGTTAATTGCACTGACACTTCTCAGAGAGATGCGATACGATTGTTACAGCGAACCGGTTTAGAGCCGGAGACATAGTTGATCATGACTTAATTACTTTTGTGTCTGTCAAGTACTTAAACTAACAATGAGGTGGAAATGGGCTTTTCCTTATGGGAAGACACAGCTTTTGGTTTATTAGCCTGTCCCTCAATTGCTTGCGCTTCGCACTGTAGCTTTACACGTGCTTTTGGCGTAATGTACAATAGTCATGCCCGCTAGCTGCCTTATCGACGTAATCAGCTGTGTTAACAAATCGCAGACCGCAACGACTATCACCTATTCCAATCAAAAATGCTAATAGTACGTTATAAAATGTTGTAGTAGGCAATCTGTTTATAAATGCAAACATTGCTCCCTCTCTTAGTCTCTCCCTTCCTCTCTCTCTATTTCTCCCTCTCTCTCTCTCTCTCTATACCTTGGCAGATCTCTCACATTTCATCTCTCTCTGTCTCTCTTCGCTCTCTTAATGTTTTGTTTATGAATGAAACAAAGTATTTTTTTCTCATTTTTTTATGTTTAATAATTTTTTTCACTTCGTTTATTTCATGAATGGTTCATGACTCGCGGAATACGATCTTGAAAACTGAATAATAAATAGATTTTAGTTTTTTAAATAAACTATAACAATAAGCCATGGCCTTGGGTTCGTTATGGATATAGGTGTAGGGCAATCAAATGGGTTAACATTCACGGTTAACTACGTGAAGTGCCAATTCAATTATCAAATTGGCATGAAGCGTTTTTATGCCATGGCGCACTCGAGACAAACTGGTTATATTTCAATACAAAAACTGTTGCGGTAGTTCAATGAAAAATGTAATTGCAATGCAAATGAGCTGCAGTCGCTAAATGTCAACTAAAACTGAAAATGGGAAATACAGCAAAATGCATATATGAGTTCTTAGGAATTATCTCTCTTGCATAATGAACAAGTTAGCATAAAAAGTTAATGGTCGACTGTCAAATACGCTTATGAATATTCTACATATATATCTAGATATGCTGAAAAAACTGAAGTAGATAGGAGATTCTGCATATATTTGATATTAAGTTGTCCAGGATTTCTCATGAGGAACGCAGGAGAAAGGAAGTATATAAAACATACAAACAACTCGACTCTTTAACCTGATCAAGAATATATAAATACTATATGGGGTGGGCTACACCTTTTACTGAATGTTACTTACCTTTTAAGTTCCAGCTATAATAAGTGTTATTTTAGTGGCTCACAACATTGAGCTGTCAACACTGCCTGGCTATTTGATAGCCAAATTAAGAGAAAATAATTGTTTTCTATTGAGTTTAGTTTGACATTTATAAGCAAAGCTTCCAAAGTGTTGAATTGTCGCATTTGAAATAAGGATAATCAATCCACAAGCTTTTGTCGGAACTGTTATGGACTGGCAGAGTCTTTGTTGCATTAGTCTTCAAAGCCGATGATGGTGAAAATTGTCAAGCAGAAATCATATTTAAACAACATCAATGTCATTGAATTTTCTTTCCATTATAGTACAACTCATTGATGCCTAAAATGTGTTTCTTTGTTTTATTATAATTTAAGCTTGTGTAACTATAAAAAAAACAGCCTACAATATTTAATTGTAAATTTCAAAATTAATAAAAAAAACCAATAAAATAACAATTGAGAGAGAACACTTCAATACACTTACGGTGCACTTTTGTAAATGAAACATCTGTTTTTATTTTGTTTTGAATATATCTAAACACATACCTTTATTTAATGAATTCAAAAATTGTGTTTAATTCTGTTTTACTTTTTGTTTTGTTTTGTTTCCATGTTTCCATGTTGTTTCACACCCAATACATATATAGAAAGTATCCCCAAATATTCTCAGTGTTCTTTTTGTTTTGCTATTTACTGCTTGGTTTTTTTTTAAATATTTTTTTTTGTTTTGTTTTTCTTGTATTTGAAGTAAAAATTTGACTCAAAACACATTTAGTTCGAGAACGCAATACATTTAGCTTTGTATTTGGTTTTCTTTAAAATTTCTTTCTGACTTGGCTAAATTTGCAATATACGTGTGTGTGTGTGTGTGTGTGTTGTGGGTGTATATAGATGATGATATGATGGTATATGCAGTGTAACTGACTTAAGTATGATACGTAGTTGAATCTCAACGAAATAAACTTGCAGTATATATATTTTCTTTTATATATATATAAATATATATATTTATATGTATTATGATGTTTATATGATTAGTGAATAAATACATATGCACTGTTATATTAATCATTATAATAATCGGTTTAAATAATTCACTTAATAGCTTGAACATTTCTTTGTTTTTCTTCACTTTATCTTCTTCTATTCTTTTTCCTTTTAAATCTATAAATTCAATTATAATGCACTTAACTTTGTGTCTCGCTTTTTTATTGCACATGTATGTGAGTGTGTGTGTGTGTGAGTGTGTGTATAACGATGTTAGTGCTTGTGTGTGTGTGTGTGTGTGTATGCATTCCGCACAAGCTCTCGCTCCAGCGCGCATACACTTGATGATTTGTATTTGTCCATATACATATATAGTATATATATATATGTAATATGTAAATATTTTTAAATATAATTTTTTATAGAATTGTAAATATATTGTAAATAATGTTTGCTTTTTTTTGTATTATTTTCATTTCATTTTTTCATTTACCATTTTGTTGTTGTACATTTCGCAATGATTTTTTTATTAATATCGCTTTTTTACCGTTGCTTATTGTATGTAGTTTTTTATTTTTTCTTTAAATGGTTGTTTAAACTTTGTTGTGATTATGTTTTTGTTTTTGTTTTGGTATGTTAAGTGCTTAACAAATATGTTTGCAAGTATTCTTGTGTATATATGTCTGAGTGTGTGAGTCTGTTCGTGTGTGTGTGAGCCATCTTCTGTGGGCCGCTTGGCAGCGTCGTCTAACATTTTGCAGTTTCCATTAACACTTTGCCGTGTCAATCAACTCACAACTAATTAAAACCACATTTAACAGCTTTGAATCCGACTTGAATCCGCCCACAGATCGGCTCAATCTAGTCCTGTATCTATGCAATGCAATTTTAAGTGTCTTTTTATCTGGTTTTACTTTTGTATAGAGTGATAGTACACATTTAAGAAGTATTTTTAAATATTATTGTTGTACACAGATAAACAAGTTTTAATTTAATTATCGTTCGCTCGAATACCGTTCCGTTTACATTCTTTTATCCATTATCGTAGTCTAAAAATGTTTCAGTGCTGCTCTCAAATATTTCAATTTATTCTAAAGATCCTACGATCATTTCATATCCAGTTTTTTTTTACCCCTCATCCGTCTCTGTCTCTGTTTGCCTTATACAAAAAGAAGAGTATTTTCTATAAAGAGTTACTATATATTATTTTTCTTCTTCTTGCGTGTGTTGTCTGTACTATGAACAGAAAGAAACGTTGACTCGAGCTCTAGAGCTCTATAACTACTTTTT